AGCGTGCTGAACTTAGTGTTGAACAAAAATGTGTTTTATGGGGTAATAGAGTGATTATACCATCTAAACTTAGATCTAGAATCCTAGAATTATTTCATGAGTCTCATCTAGGGATAGTCCAGTCAAAAATGATAATGAGAGAATACTGTTGGTGGCCAAATTTAGATCAGGATATTGATAAAATTGTTGCAGGATGCAACATTTGTCAATCAACAAGAAACTTCTCTAATTCCTGTTCTTTAAGTTCTTGGAAGTGTACTGAAAGTAATTTTGAAAGGGTACATGTTGATTTTTTTCATGTAAAGTCAATGACTTATTTATTGATAGTAGATTCTAGGTCTAAATGGATAGATGTACATATTATGCAAAATACAAATGCTAGCCATGTAATTGAAAAACTATGTAAGACTTTTGCCATAATAGGTATACCAGCAACATTAGTAAGTGATAATGGACCTCCTTTCAACTCGGCTGAGTTAGTAAATTTTCTGAAAGCTAATGGGTGCAATGCTGTTAAAACACCGCCCTATCATCCCCAGTCTAATGGAATGGCTGAAAGGTCAGTGCAAACAATAAAAAAATGCTTAGCCAGATTGGAGGTTCAGTACCCTAAAATGTCTAGAGAATTAGTTTTGCAAAATTTTTTATTTACTTATAGAAACTCACCAAATTCAACTGGTATGTCCCCTAATGAAATACTTTTTAAGCAAAAAGTAAGAACAAGATTTGACTTGATGAAACCAAATAATATTATATCTAGGAAAATGTGTAAAAATATAAAATATAAAAGTATAACATTTAAAAAGGGAGATGATGTATGGTGTAAAGAGTTACATAAGGGTAAAGGATGGATTAAGGGTGTGATAGTAGAGAAGTTAAGTTCAGTAAGGTACATGGTAAAAGTGGGTGAAATTCTTAAATATTACCATGCATCATCTTTGAGACCATATCAAAAAAGTGATGGGTTCATAAGAAATGAGTCTACATCGAAATCTTTTGGGAGTGAACCACCATCAAGTCAGTCATTTCTAAATAATAATAATTTTGATAACACTTATGAGCCAAGTTTTACCAATAGGGAAGAAGAAAATTCGAATGAAAATCAAGCAGCCTTGGACCAAACGGAAGGTCCGGAGGAGAGACTGATTGATGATGATGATTCATACCCAGAGAGTCAATCTCCATGTTTAAGAAGATCAAACAGAATTAGGAAAACTCCAGTTCGATTAGATTTATAGATTGTTTTGTTTTTCGGTATCTAAATTAGTTTATGAAGGAGATTTAAATTCTTTAGTACATAATAAAACAATTAAAAGGGGACGAATGTTATATATTGAGTCTGTGACTCTCCGTGGCAATATGATTAGTCTGTGGATGGCACTTTGAAAATTGTAACGTAATAATTAAGAAGTGAATAAATACATATTACAGTAATAAGTGTGATTATTTGGAAACATAAAAATGATCTGAAAATAATTCTCAAACGTCAAATTATCAAGTAGATCTACCCAATTATACATAATAGTAAGTCTTTTCATTGCTTTTATAAAACAATTAGGCCGACTGAATTCAGTGATTGATGTAACTGCCGTATGGCACATATGGGCAGGGTTTGCCAACTATTCTTAAAGATAGTTGGCTAGGCTAGGGTTATCGAAAATGCTCGCGTATAGCAAATTCGTTTCACGAGCATTACAACCACTGGGACTTATCACTGGGAGTTTTAAACAAAAATGGACGATGCAGCATACTCTTTGTCTTTTTCAGGCCCTTTTTTTCATTGAAGAGTGATTGCTGTTTGTTAATCAAAAGTTGGCATGAGAGTGGACAAATATGTGAGGGAGAGTAATCGGTTTTGTTCAGCTAACTGTACAGAAATACTAAGACTCACATTTACAGAAATAAAACCGCAAAATCTAAACATTTCTAATAAAATATGTAGGTATGGAGTTTCTTGCGAATTAGCTAGTGATAAATTATATAATGATAAATAATAATATTTAATGATAAATAAGACAGGTTTTTGAGCCCTGCCTCCAGGTGTCATCGTTGTGTGGTGGCATCCAGATAGATATTCTATAAAGTTAAAAGCAATTTTAATGGTAGGTAAGTAAACCTTTTAACCTTTGCAACAAAACATTGATGTTATGTCTCTTTATAGGTATAAATATTACTATAATAGGAACAGGTTATCACTTGGCGTGTAAGTTTATATGAACATAACTTTTTTAAAGTCTCACAAACCCTGAAAGCTTTCCTTTAAAGTGACTTTATATCTACCATTTTTTTTTAATGTATTAAAAATAAACAAGAAAGATTATTCCATATTTCTTGGATTGTCCTACGGATTATGCAAATAAATATGCATGAAGTTACTCGATAATGAAGAACCATAACAATAAAAAATTTGCAAGTACCTAAGGTACAAATCAAGTTTCGAATACTTGTTTATATTGAAAAATCAACGGATCTTTATTTTACAGCATTATGTATAAATGTACACATAGAAGCACGTCAGGTTAACACAATTTATCAATATATCGCAATTGATTTTCAACTCTCCCTTTAATGCATTAAAGTTTAAATTCAACTGAAGAAATTCGATAGATTTCTATAACCCGACCTATTAACTGTACTTGAATATGGATCTATAGCTTGCAAGCCTTTTTACAAGATTCAGAGTACAAATATAAATTGTCAATTTGCTCTGTTTGGTTTGGGTCTGAAACGGAGTTTCATTCATACGTGGCTATTTAAACACAACGTTAGGAGGAAGGTTTGGACAGATTTGAAAGGTTTAATCTCCCTAGTTTTGAGTTTTGACGCAATATTGATGTTTCTTATTTACAAAAACTGACACTTGCTAAAATTGATTCCTCAGCTGTTCCTGTACTTCTGAATTTTTAAACGAGATTAAGAGTACGTGGCGTCAGTCCGACAATTTTTTTCTTCACTGGATTCTGGAGAATCTTATTTACCGGCTCGCTCTCAGAAGCTTTGTGGTGATTCCGTCGTCACCCGCTGCCATGTTGTTTTTCAGTTGTTTAAGAGCCATATTAATCTCATATTTATTTGGGGCGAATATCTTCGGTAAAGTGTCGGCTAAGCTTGGCTCTAGGATCGTATTTGCGTCGAGTGCAGCTGTCCATAGAAACTCTCGATCTCCATAAGATTTCCGTTCTTGACGAGATGATGCTACCGTCGTCAGATTTCAGCTTCGTCATTGGCTTTGCCCAATTGACAAATTTTTCGTGAACATTTTTGGAAAATTTTGGATATTTAGCTGCCGATAGTGACTTGAATCCATTGAGTTCTGCAGCCTCATGTCGTGTCTTATTTGCATGAGTTGGAGTGTGTTAAAGAGTTTCTTTATTTTGTGAAAGAAAAAGGGGTTTGAAGAACTTGGGCCCTACCGTACAGACAGTATCCACCACCATGCTCTTTACATCATCCACATCTAAATTGCTATAGGACATAAAAGCATTTCTGAAGCTTGAGTTGATAACTTACGTGGTTTTGGATCGAGATCTTTCCAGCTTGATATTGATATTCAATGTGTCTCGTACCAGTCGATGATTACTTCCCGGTTTAACGGCGTTGATCTCGTTTTTGACTTTACCATCCGGATTCATCCAGGTCCATTTCTGATTTAGCGGCTTCCTGAAGAAGGAGTTCATCATGTAGAGATTCTCCTTTTCCATCAGTTCCGGCACCCAAATCCAAACTGCCCCATTCCCATCACAACCGTGTAGTGGGTATTGTAACTATGCATGGCCTTTGAGATCTCTTCATACATAGCCTTCACTTCATCATCTGGGTGCGTAGAGGTCGGAGCATAAACCTGTATGACTTTCAACGAATATTGATTTGATATTCTGAGTATCAGGTAAGCTATCCTGGTCGACACACTTCCAATGGTAATCACATTGTTTACAAGGGACTTGTGGACTATGAACCCGACACCACCTAGGAACTGTTGATCACCTTCCCGGTAGCATACCTGGAAAGTTAATTCTTAAGTCATTAGAAAAAGTCAGAAAAAGAAAGTCTTACGAATAAACTTATGAAAAAAACTAAGATCAGTTAGTAAATCTTATCTTAATAATTAAACTATTTTAATAAAAACTCAATAATAAACAAGAAACGGCCGTTCGAAACGAACAGCAAGGTAATAATTTTAAATTTCAAAATCTCAAAGTCACGTTACAGCAAATACATTATCGCTATTGAACTCGCATGGCGACGGCGGGATGTCTCGAGTCAGGTATTATGTTATTTCGTACTGTGGGTATGTGTTTTTTCGTTCTTACGTTTACGTTTTCGTTGGCTTCCTACTCAACCTACTCTAAAAATGAGTTTTATTGAAATATATTACTTATTTATATTAATATTATTCGACGAATTCAGATGAATCGAGTCCATTAAGGTTACGAGTAACTAATGAGTTAACTTATCACTAATGTAGACATAATTATTAAACCAAAAATCGTTCCTTTACACGTAACATAATAAATAACTTAAAGTTACGATTCAAAATTAGATATTTATATTTTTTAAATACTTCCTTATTCAAAACTATGGCGCCTTAGTTCCAATTTTGGCTATCGGGTTAGATTAGTTTGTGGCACTGTATTTAGTAAAGTTTCCACCTCAGAATAATAAGGTTCCTACTTCCCACAGTTCTAAGCGCAGTTCCCACCTCAGATGAAATAATAAATCTATGATTCCCATTATTATACTTTACTCTTTGTAGAGAAGTCATATCAAAGAGTAAAGTATATGTTATATATAATAATTTTACTCTTTGAGTAATATATACACTTTATTTTTTTGGTAGTCAACCACTTTACAGATTAGGATGTAAAAAAATTTTTGTACACGAATATTTATTTTACATAAAAATGTTCTGTATCTAAAAAAGTTTGAAATGTGTCTATTAGGTCGAATAATGATCGTTATTAGAAAAAATATTTAAATAACATATCGAATTAGACGTCATTATGCCACCAAAAAAAGGTAAAAAAGGCAAAGAACCTCCGCCACCCACGCCTGGTAAAGCCACTGGTCCTCCTCCAAAACCAAAAAAGATTCCTCCTCCACCGGCATGTTTTACCACTGAAGACCTGCTCAGATTTAAAGAAATGTTCAAAGCTCACGATGAAGAAAATATTGATAAGGTAACATAACCCAGCACATTTAAAATAGGTTCTAAGAAACCTTGTCACCGTAACTCATCCCCCCTCATTTAGTGGGTTGGACTCGGCGGGCTTCTTGCCGGATCCCGGGTCCTTCCTACCCGGAGGGGGTACTCGCAGCGGATGTACCAGGTAGGCCAGCCTCGCTTAAACCTGTCCTTTTCAGGACGGGTGCAGTATGGGAGAGCCTTGGTTTAAGGCCTAAGGTTGCATTTCCCCTGCATTATTGGGTTTGTTGAGCAAATATCCGCATGATGGATCCACAGAGGGGAATCTCAAATAACCTCGTCGTCCACCAGGTATTTTCTGTTTTCCCTACAATAAAAAAATGGTCTAAGAAGCCTAATTGGATGGTCAGCATAAGCTGATTTGTCTTAATAATTTTAAAATCTGTTTGAGAAATTTGCGTTTTATATAGAGATACGCAATTTATTAATTTATTTATTCTTTCTTCTTTTTTCTTCATGTCCGAGTGAATTTCACGCCGGTTTCAATGTATCGCCATCTTTGATGATCCGGATTCAATTCCTGGTCGGATTAATGTAAATAAAATGTTTTTCCATATTCTCAGGTGTTCGTGTTGTAGTAACTCCGTTGTTTCAGATACTCTATCATCTAAGTGTTATTAATAAACAAGGTTTGGCGTTGGAATAAATTTACGCTGAGGCTGCACTCAGTATTAGTTAAATTCATATTATAAAACAGTCTTAGCAAAGGTTAACCTAGTACGAGGTTCTACAGGAGTATTATTTACTCCTAAAAGTTAGTAGGTTTGCTTATTCTTTGTAAAGGTAATATGAATTTGGACTAATACTACCCTAAAAGTGCATTAGGCTAAATTTACTCTGACGCTAAAACTTGTTTATTAATAGCACTGCAAGTGTTTACTACTGAATCTAGAATCTGAGCTATGTATGAAATGTTTATTTAAAACACATCTGAGCTATGTATGAAATGTTTATTTAAAACACATATTTATAAGTAATTAGTTGTTTTTCTGTGACTTCGCTCGCGTAAGTTATAGCATTGTCACCCGCGCACGATGTAGCTTCCCGTAGGTGAAAGACCTTTTGAAATCTGTCCTTTAGTTTAGGAGCCTATTTAATGTAAACAAACAATTAAAGCTTTCATCTTTATAATAATTCCAATAATTTCTTTATAGGTCCCTATAGATTTAATTCCTTTGATGCTGAGAAAGTTGGGATTTAATCCTAAAACAGCAGAGATACAACAACTATTCACGATGTTTTTGGAAGACGATTTGGTAGACACAGTGGAATTGCACGAATGGTATCAAATGATAGAAGCCAAAATGAATTGGGGTGATGACTTCGAATTAGCAGTGACCAAAGCTTTTGCCGCTTTAGGTCACGACGACGATGAGACAGGTGTATGTCTACTTGAAGTGTTAAAAGAAGAACTGATGTCTTGGGGTGAACCTCTCTCAGAAATAGAGTTTGTTGATTGGGTTCGTCTAGCGATTAAAGATAAGACGTTTAATATAGAAGATGGGTCATTCTTATATACGAAGTTTATTGAAAATATGAACAATAAGGATGATAAATATATTAAGGAACCTATCAACTTCTTTAAATTGGACCAGAAAACTTTAGCTGAGATGGCAATGAAGAAGGCGCAAGAAGAAAAGGCGGAACAGGAAAAGAAAGAAGCAGAACGTCGTATGAGAGAAGAAGCTAGAAGGCAAAAGATGATAGCCGATGGTCTACTTCCTCCTGATTAAATAAATTTCGCGACCTAATGCCGTACGAGGCCTTTAATATTTGGGTAAATTTGTACAAAATATTTTTTAATTAGTAATTTGTGTGATATACAACGTTTGCATAATTTTAATAACAATCTTTCCTGCGTCTAAAAGAAATGGCACGCGTTTAATGGCAATTGGTATTTGCATGAATGAAATCCTAATGATAAATTATGTTAAATATATGGAATGAGGTGAACTTGTTTATCTGGATGATTCTGTGTTTTATTTAATAGGTATACAACTATGTACTACCATTATGAATGTAAAAGTATATGGTTCGGTTAAAGAACCATTCTAAGCGAAAAATTATATAAAAATATATTTTATATCTACAATAAATACAAATATAAATAATATTAATTGAAATAATAATACCTTAAGCTGTCTCGGTATAGAAACGTATAAAGTGGTATTTTTTAAGCTTTTAACAATTTCCTCTGTACCACATATAATTATCAAAAGGTACATGTTGCACACGAAAACAGATTATGATGTCATTTGTACCCCCGGTATGCTTAGAAACACACCAATTCTTGGAAAGTATAATGTTGGATGCAAATAATTTTAGAGTCCATTTTAGTGAGCAAGTGATAAAGGTTATTTGGGTGATGAGAAAAATAAACCAATTTTTATTATTTTCATTACCCAAATCAAATCTCACAAACAATGTAAATATTATAAATGGACTTCATACACACATATGTATGATAAAGTACTGATTGATGTAAAAAAATTTCATTTCTGAATTATTATTTTTTTGCCATATATACTCGTATACAAGTAAAAAATTATATATTGTAATTCAGCTAACAAACAAGATTCATTCTAGTGATTTTAACCGATTAAGAATGCTACAAAAATGAAAACAAGTCAATTTAGTACTAAGACATTATAATATAAATGAAACAACTTCTAAACGGTTTTATCGCGTTTGTATTTAGTTTTATTGACGTTTAGGACCCTTTACTTACAGGACTTTATGTTTCATTTATGGATAGTGCGTGTGAAAATATAAGAAATCAATATCTTATGACATGTTTTTTCAAATATTTCTAAAATATCCCGAAATAGAATATGTTACGAGGTACCACATTGCCGCATTTACTGTTAGACAGCTACAGTTTATGAGCACTTTGGTTTAGAAACACCTGCGTATCAGGAGGCCGTACTCCAATAGCCTCCTCGAATCAATCAAAACAACAAATCTGTTACACCTGTACCTTTCTTTATTTCAGTGCCAGAATTAGATGGATAACTTTTTGGAACTCAAGATGAGACTATTTTTATATACTTAGGTATTTTACGAGACTGTAACAAAAGCCTTATTGAAAGGTCTAAATTAAATCCTAATAAATTATTTCACCGACGGGAAGTGATATCATACGTAGTAAAATATAGAATTAACTCAAATGAAATTGCGGGAAAACAGCTAGGTACTTATAAAACGAAAAGATAACTCTTTTATCAATCGTTTAAATTGTTAAGCCATACCATAAACCAACTCCTCAATCGAATTTAGTTATTTCGCATCTGTAACCATCTCCATCACTGAGTCAAACCCGTAATGAAGTGATAACCTACAACCTACATTCTTGGATGCTCTACTCGTCATAGACAACATTGTTATCATGCGAGTAGAGTTACCACGTCTCCAGAGCTAATAGTCGGATAGACCAACCAGTTTGGCCTGACATTTGGGTAGTAAAAACAAACACCTTACCTACATTATTGAGGACTTTGCGTCTTGGCAATTTTTTTGTGTTAAATCAAGACTTTTTATTGTTATTATAAATCTGTCGACTTCCCTGCGGTCGATCACGCTCGGCGCTCACTCGTTTGCGAAATGTAAAAAGTCTAACAAAAGCCAGACAAGTCGGACGCAAAATCAAAAAGCCTACCTATGTCCGTAATTGTCCGGACGTCTGGCAACGCTACATGCGAGTTAGTCAGGCTACATTGCAATTACTGTGGTCTGACATTAACTGCATTAAACTGAGTAGATGGTACGCTAGTCCGAATGACGTTATGTAATTACTATCCCGAGTTCAGTTAATTAGATTTTTTATGAGTACCATTATCAGTGTTGTGAAGTCAGACTTTATAAACTAACTGGCTGTATTCCTGCGATTTCGGCGGCTTAAATTATGGCCTATGTCATCCAAGTAAGATTTGTATTTCGGAATCTATTAAATGCAAATTAATAAACAATCAAATATTTGTTAAAAGCTTTAGCCTGTAACTTCGTCCGAGTGGTATAGTTACTTTCGGCAGCATTTCTAAAAATGCTAAAATAATATAATTATTTATACCTGAATATAAAGTTTAATTACTTTATCTTTGACAAAGATTGACTTCCACACAAACTTTAAATCCCATTTCAACCTTTTTATCAGAATAAAAAGCAACTAAAAAGTAACTATCTATAGTCAACTATTTTTAAGTCGGTTAGGACTGAAAGCTTAACAGACATATATAAGAAAAGAGAATAGGTCTCGCTATATTAATATTAGTATGGAATAATTAAACGATTCTCTTTTTCGCTCATTATATCATATATTAAGAGATTACCAGACATTTATCAAAATAACTGTGTAAATAAAATAGTCTAAGAAAAATATAAATCACAACTGCTTGGTTGACTTTTAAACTCACAGCTGTTTTGTTTTTGAACAACATTGGGTACTACGAACTACATCAACAACATCGAGGTTAATATATAATGAACATGTCGTAGCCAACTGGGTAAAACATCCATCAATGTTTGCAGGACAAGGCACATAGTACATACATAGGTACAATGTAAATCATATTTTAACTTATTGTGATTAACATTGTACTCGTACCTACGTATTATGTGCCATGTTTTGCAGCCATTGATATATGTATTAGATCTAGTTTTCTTAATTCACTGAATAAGTTGAGGACCTAGATTAGTCACGCTGTTTTGAAAAGTCACCTCTCTGCGGTGGTGTCGTGTGCGGCGGGTCGTAATGTACCCTAAAATATGGTTGAGCGAAACGATGCCTGGCTCATGTGTCATGCTCGTGAAGGGGTGTTGCCAGTGGGGATGACTCTGCTCTGGACTACTTAATTTTTGTAAATTCCACCCCCTGCGGGGTGGAATTTACAAAAATTGTTCTTATTACACCTCTACATAATAATAGGAATGAACCCTCCAAATTTCAAGTCTATGACCAGCGGTTTAGGCTGTAACGTTGTCTCACATTCAATATGTCAGGACATCTCCTTTTATATATGTCTATAGATTACTATACTTGCAATTCGCTACGAAATCATTTTTGTTTCAATTACCTATACTGATAAGTATAAAAATTGCGAGCTCTTAACCTCTAAATTACCAAGTGTAAATATTTCTTATTGAGGTACAATGTCGCACTATTATATCAATATTTGCACAGTGCCACCTACTACCATAAAGTAAAGAGTAATAAAGCTAGATCATGACACGCACGCGTAGCGTGTTAGATATGATAACTCGCTACGTGTGTTATGGATGCGAGTTAAAGTGGTTAATCCTTCAGCAATATCATTTGTTAGCGGTAGTTGCTGCTCTCAATAATTATTTAGTTCAGTAGTTAGCTTTTATGGATATATAAATATGGATTTTTTATGGATAGATAATATATAAATAGTTTAAGGAGTAAGTATTATATATCTAAAAATAAAGTTATATATGACGGCGGGTAGTCAGAAGAGGCTATTACGAAGCCCAAATAGATCGTCCATATCGGAGGACTATCTTTAAAATAACAATGCAGGCGTGTATACCAATGTGGACTTATTCCATTTTATCACTTTTCATACGAAAATATAACGAGATGAGCGTGATGTCGTCGGATGTGTTTACTCTTCGGCGATCGGAAACAGAATGTCTCGCAAAATGGCGGCACCTTGCTTTTCGTCAACGAACTGTTAAAGTCAGTGTTATCATTCTAATAAAATTAAAATTATCGATGATCACGCCCTCTCTACAATATAGCAATTAAGAAATCGAGTAACTAACAATTAAAAAAAACTAAATCAAACGATCTTCGTAATGGTGATGGAGATATTCTGCGACGTATAGATTTTCACGATGCATGGGACAAGGCTAATGCAATCAATCCTACATTAAATGTATGAAAACGATTCGATCAGATCCAGTCCGATCCAGTAGATATTGGCATTTGGTGCTTTATACAAATTCGATAGATTCCCCATCGAATCGAATCGTGTTGGACGAATGGGATATAACTCATCACGTAGGCTCAATACAGGTTGGTTAATGATTGCAGATGCAGCCGGGTCCAACGGCTTAATACGCCTTTCGAAGAACGAAAGAGCTCGATATAATAAATTTTTGATCATCCATCCTATGACCGGCCCTTGCGAAAGTTGCGTATTAATCGAATCTAAGACCGAGCGCTCTAAACACTATGTAAATTCTTAAGGAATCATGTTCACTTTCCATACATTGATTGATCTGTCACATATTTTTCTGAAGATCGCGTCTACACACCGTTAGTGATAATTTAAATTGGTTTTTGCTTAGAATAGAATAATATCCTCTCATCTGTTTATTTTGAAGTTATAACAGCTGTCGAACCTTAAGAAAATTGTGAAGTTGTTTTAAAAATTAACGAATTAAAATAAAAGTTTATTATAGTTTGATTTTTAAATATGGAAATAAATCTAAATGTATTGTTAATGTGTTCTTTTTTAATATATGACGAAATAATATATTTTTTCGTAATAGATGAAACGAAACATAGCAAATCATCACTGGGTCCGTATCGCACTGGGTAGTGTAGCAACCGTAATTTAAGGATCTGAATCTCATTCGGGTAGTCCCTACATAGTATAAAACAAAGTCGCTTTCTCTGTCCTTATATCCATATGTAGGTATGCTTAAATCTTTAAAACTACGCAACGGATTTTGATGCGGTTTTTTTCATAGATAGGATAATTCAAAAGGA